CTGACTATTGTCATAAGAGCTTGTAATTGAGTTCGTTTAGCATCGTTTTTATATGTTTGTATCTTAAATATTCGCAACGAAACAGTCCAACATCAATGTTTCGCTACAACAGGGTTGCTAAGGAAAGTAAAACAAAAAAGAAAATTCACTAATACTTTCGTTTTTCAAGTTATTGTGCTTCACGTATGTGTCAACTATGCGGTGTTGTTCGATGACTATTATTCTTTTCCCTTTTCTTCTGTATCTTCACGTCTATGCACAGCAAGTATGAAGTGCTCTTTGAAATTCGCTGAGGGGAAAATAGGTAGCGTTTTGCATAAATCTGCTCTAAAATTGCACAACTACAATAACAGTTGCATTGAACATTTTTTATATGATTAAGCTTATATGAGAAAACTCTGCGATTCGCGCGCATTATCGGTGACCGAGGATCGAAGATTGTTAAATGCCAAAGGAGTATTCGATTTAGTGAAATACACAAGAAAATACAAGACGATGTCATCCATGCGCCAAGTCTGATGCATGAGTAAGATGTATTTGCAAAAGCAGATCATTGTTCAAATCTAGCATCCAGAAATTGCTTACTTAACATCTTATTAGATGTCTTCCAGTTAGTTGTTTTTTACTCGTCTTCCACAGTAGCTTCAAAGCATTTAGCTTTTTTAGGTATGTAAGAGGTCTTCTGTGTTACTCGCAAAGCAATGCAAGCTATCCACAAAAGTTTCATTGACACACATTTACGAGTCATCTTACTTACTTATTTTAAGACATAAAATTTTTTTATATTTTTTAAGTGAACTTATAGAGTACAGACCTCAATGGTTTATTTTCAAACAACAACATTTTTAGTAGTCAGCAAACTAGCTTCAAAAGACTGACATTCTCCTAGTTACCAGTTCCTTTGTCTTTAACTTTTCATTCAACTGTTGATCAATAGATAGAATAAAATTTGCACCCAATATTGTCAATTGTATATTTTGCCTTCTGAAAAATAGGCAGAATAAAATTCATGTTGATTGTTATGAATCTGCTACTGCTGCAATGCACTCATAAATGAAAGACATGAAGAGCCTGCTATCTCTGTCCGTTTGCTTTCAATTACTTATAATAGATTACGCGTTACACCAGAACTTAATGGGGTCGATTATTCGGTTTGCGCCCATGCCGACCATTCTATTATAATAGTAGATCCTATTAGCGTTCTGAACATTATTTCCAATTGATGCCAAAAACCTTAGTTAAGGGCAATGAATTATAAAGTTCAATGATAGCACACACTTGCAAATTAATTAGATTACGTTTGGGGCCAAATCGCTCATCAAGACAATATGGACAGAAAATTATTTCACCTATATGCTTCTTCTTCTTCCTTTTCTGTTATTCAGCAAATCAACAAACGCAGATTCGTTTTTGTCACATCATGCTTCTTCCCTTTGCTTGCCTTAAGAAACCGAACCTTCACATTTCCTTGATTACAACAAACCATAATCTATCTAAACTTGTCTAAGACTGTCTAAAACAACATAGTTTCTCCATATGTTGTCTTTGGTTACACGAACACACCATTTCTCCGCCTTGTTATACGAATCCGTCTTACATGAAAGCGCGTTATAAAACAGTTCACTGTTTTTTTTACAAAACCACTTATATAACTAAGAATAGTATTTAATTTGTAAGAGGCGTAAGATACTTGTAGCTGCAACCTCCGCCATTTTTCTCAGCTTGTAACTTAATTATTAAAATGAGTAAATAAATAGAAGTGCACACATTCAAAGAAATGAATAGACTTCCTTGGAATTAAAAATTAATTTAAATTGATTTCTAAATTTCTTAGATTAATTATCTCTTGATTATTATTATTACTGTGTGTGTGGTAAGTTCTTTTTACGGAATCGTGAAATTAATCTGAACACATTCTACTCCAATTTAAATCCAAATTGTGCTACCGAAATACCTTAACTGGTGGAATAAGTTATGAGCGTGCATCCTATATAGAAGCCAAGTAATGATTTTTATCTCTTAAAGATAGTCCTGCAGACTTAAAGGACAATCCGGACGCTGGACAAGCAAAATTTGTCGTTTATGCTAGAGGCCGTGTGCGAATGCATCGAATACGTTTGTGACTGACTTTTTAACCAAAACTTCCATTTTACTCATCAAGCGATAAACTAACTTACCACACGTCGCATGCCGTCCTGCTAGTCCCACAAAGGTCTTGAAGTGAAACATGTAGACTGTTAGCTACAATCTCAAAACATAGCCCCTACATGTACGCGAGGGCTGCATCTTTCCGATTAATGTATCCATCGATTGAATTTACCATTGTTTAAATATTCTGTTGATTTTAAAAAGCGGCTTTGGCGCTACGAATGAAATGTATTTTTTAAGAGTATTTTCATTGCATTTAAATCTATTTTGAAAAAAAAAGTCTCCATTGATTATTTCTAAGAGAAAGTGAGTGAGCCTTTATTTTATAAGAGAGGAATCTTCTTCATTTCTGCAAAGTACTAAAATCTTTTACAGTTGCATACTATGACAACGTAATATAATGCTAAGAAAATGCCTTAACAGAGATAATATATAACAATGTAATGTTAACGAACAGGATTACTCTTCTTTTGTCGTTTACAGGGCTGAAGTTGTTAATTAACAGACTTTTCATATTTAACATAAAAATGTTCTCGCTCATACAAGAAAAAGGTTATGTTAATGAATAAACTTTTGTAAAGAAGAAGAAATGAGTTTCATTGGGAAAATGTTGTTGCGTTTTATTTATATTTTACTTTGGTTTAGTTATGCGTGTAAATTTGAAACGTAAACATTCAATGAGATTGCGATGGATGGTGGATTATGTGTTTTAAGTGTTAAAACTAAATCTGACATCGCTATAATTTTATCAACATATTTTCATAAATAAATAAATACAACACAAATATTAAGATACCTTTCATACATTCTTGTATTTAAGATAATTTTGTTTATTTCATTCATTTATAGACAAAAATGTTTTACATGCATTGCAAAGATTAAAAAACTGTAAATTACTTTTTGCATATAAAAAAAAAGAAAAAAAAAAACGCGCAAATGAGAAAAATTTAAATTAAGGTATTATTCTCAAAATGATTGCGTTAACATGAACAAACAACGTGTTAAGGTAGTGCGAGTTGCCCGAGAAAAACTGCATGCAATGAATGAGAAACGGGGAAAAAGTGCCAAAAGTAACCACATATACCACATCATGAACACACAGCCACAAATGAGTTTAGAAACAATCCTGTCCACACGTTTAACATGAAAGGAATGAACACTTGACGACATAAGCACAAGCGAGGGTTGTTTGAAAGGAGTTGAAATTGATACATTATTTAATTTTTTATATACTCTTCTTCTTCGACTCGCTTTAAATTTCAATAATAATTTATGACAGTCTATCAATTTTTTTCTGACTTTTAATTTTAATAAATATTTGAAGCGAATTAAATTTTTCGCTTAGAGAACATAATAAGTAGAAAATAAAAAAGTGAGGAAAACTAATTGCTTAATATAATGTTAGGCGTGCAAATCTACGTACATACGTACAAGCCAGGACAATGAACATTTAAAGATATCTGTATGAACAGCGTCAACAAATGCAAATGTCATGATGTCAAGGTGCCTTTAAATGTTCACATACAACACGTTTCTCCAGGATAACCGAACTGATGCGCTGGTATATAATTAAAAATTCCCATAATTTTATGGTAAATGCTTTGTTGTTGCAAAGGTTAGCAAACATTTAAAATGAAAGGAAGGCGCATATACAACCAAAAGAATTGCGTTACCTTTGATTAACAAATGGAACAAAGACCAACCTGGATAATGAATAATAATCAAGCAGTGTAAATTTAATTAAATTAAATTTTTTTTTTCTTTTTTTTTTAATAAATATAAAATAAAAAACAAAGTAAAGCATAATCTTTAATAGAACGAAAACAAGGAATCGAATCATGAAGCAAAAATTATTTTCAAATTCGATAAAACATTTTTGTTCATGTCGCTTATCGATAGGTTTTCTTTATCCCGATGTCAGGGATTTTGTGTCTAATTCATACAGTCTCTGAACATTGTTCATGTTAAAAAAAATATTAATGATTATTAGTAGTCAAGCGTTATCATCAATGGAGGGCTTCGTGAACCTAGCGAATATCCAATAAGAACATAATTTTCATTTCAATAACGATCGTAATTCCCCTGAAATTAGCAGAAGTGTAGGTAGTTCTCTGACTCTGAAGACATTTTATAAGGAGCCATTGCTAACTACGGATGCAAATAAGAAGATTAAGTTAAACATAATGTAGAAATAATTTTAGAAGATTTCTCGATATACTTAAGAGATTAAGTTTGAAAATAAGCCTGATTTTCTGTCATAATTTTACCTGCCTCGGAAAAAACAAATATATTTTCATTAATAATATATAGGAACTGCAATTAAATCAATCGGAAATTTTGAAAGATGACACTAACCGGCTTACTTACTGTCACTTCCATCAAGTGCGCTTTCGAGCTATTGAGTGAACGTAAATTTGTCAGTGATTTAAAAAGCAGACAAAACTTTCGGAAGCCTTTTATCGTGACGACGAACGTATGCAACTCATTGCAGCAGACAACATAATTTATTGCTGTATGCATGCACACATACACATATTGCTACAAAGGATTTGAAAAAATTTCAATGAAATCCGTGAACAATTAAAAAAAAAAGGAAGAAAGAAAAAAGAATAAAACAAAAAAATGTTTGTTGTTATGTTTTTTAAAGCTTTATGTTGTTCACTTATTATTATTATTATCGTTTCCTGATTTTTTCTATAATCGCGCATAATAGTTGTGTAAATACGAGTTTTGCAACAAAATAAGTTGTAATCATTTGTTTTTTTAGAAGATCGTATGTTATTGTGAAAAACCGCTATAGAGGAATTGTTAAAATCGAACTCAGTGAAACAATTCATCATTTTAAAGCTAAAATGTTAACAACACATGCTTTTCAACATATACAACTTCATCATCATCATCATCATCATCATCAGCATAGGGGCAGCACGTCAATCGAGTTCGATAAGATTACTAACTTAAATACGGTAATTATTTGATTTTGTTTTAACCACAACTTTTTATGTATTTTTTATGGTTTTTTTTTTTTTTTTGCTATTTTTAAAGTCTTGATTGTTCTCTGATCAGGGATAATATTTATAAAGGAGGAATAATCAATGCATTCACTTATAAGTATAAATTTATATCTGAAGTCGTATTTCTCTTACTTAAGTAAAGAAGCTTTGAAGTGAAGCACTTTAAGTATTATCACTTTCGGGAAAGTTTGCCCTAAGCCAGATTTAGCGACCTTGCTTAAAAACATTGGCATTACCTTCAGAAGCATTGTTCGTACAATGTTAAAGCATGATAAGTGGGAGAAAAATTCTACTTGGTTTCATTGCAATTGAAGTGATGATTACAAAATATTTTTACGTATAAATTAGTCCTTAAAACGAGTGGACACTCTAGTGGTCCCATTGGCGGCCAGCCATTGAATACTCTACACCACATTTTTCCTTGTAATGTATTTTCAAAATAAAGCGTTTTATGGGAAACGGTTGAAACTGTGATCCGATCCAAATCCTTTTTAAGAGAATTCGTCCTAGGGCCAGGAACAAATCGGTGCACCAAATCTTATCGCAATACTTCAAAGATTGTGGCCCGTAGTTTGAAAAGAACAAAACAAAATGGGTACACGGACAGACGGATGGCCAGGTAGAGTAAAGTAGTTCTATCTTAAGACCCTCCGGGTATTGCATACATCCGCATAAAGTTAATATGCTCTTATATCCTTATTGATATATGAAAATTCATATACCAGTGCTGCCAAATACATCTCTAATCTGTGAAAAGACAAAGAGGAGAAGTCATGGATTTCGAGGCGATGCCACTGAAACCATGATTTTGTCATTATTCATTGTCGCATTTTTTATACAATGAAAACTCGCCTGCATACCGTACGATACTTTAAAGCAAATGCTCATTCTTTAACCATGTACTCGCTTTTGGAACAATTCGATTATTAGATTGATCCTGATATATATATATATATAGATAGATTGATCCTAATATATCTGCATACTGATGATCCGTGTAGAAACCCTAACCCGTTTTTATATCTCCTGTATCTGCAATCTCTCCTGCCCGTGCCTACAGACGACTAATTGATCACAATTGATCTAACACAAGCCGGTGTTTAATTTTTTTGTCTTAGCCCTTGCGAGACTAGGTTAGATATATGGATGAACCTGGCGGACTAACCAGGCATAGAACTGACTTTCGTATATCTGCCTTTTGTGGCTACCGCATAATTAAAAAAGAGGAAAATGCCATTCATTATAAAGCAAGAAAGCAGACACAGGGTAACATATATTGCGCTTGTTCTCTATCGTCATAGCAATGCTAGCAAAAACAGGAAAATGAGTGCAATATGAACAAAAGTTGAAAAATATGAAATTAGCAGAATTTTGCTAATTAATCAATTTAGTCAACACTTACTTCAAACCCATAAATAACTCAATTAAGTTTTACTGCTATTTGAAATGGAGTGTTCAAGTTATTGATGAACACTTATTATCATTTTTTGAATTTTTTTGAATTTGAGGTTTCGCTGGTTTTTAAAGTAATGCGAGTGAGATTAAAAGCAGTTCATTAGTATCTCCAAAGGCTTTGATTTTTATAAAAAGAAACAAACGGTTAAATCCCTGCGCAATAATAGATGAGAGAGATGACTATACGGGTCATTCAGTATCAGCTTCATTTTCTACTAATCAGTTTCCCAATTCCTCCATCTACATATCTACTATAAGAATAAATTATGTAATAAAAGCATGGACTGTAACAATAACAAAAAAAGGCCATCAATCACAAAAACAATTGCGTTAAGAAAATATCTAATTGATCAAGAATCTGAATAGTTCATAAAACAAGGCCGAGTCGGCAATTCGGCCTTACGACATCAGATGTCTTATGGATGATCAACGTTTCCTAATTTTTTCAAATTTCAATCTCGACACACAGCTAAGGGAGTAAATTAATATTTTTATACGGTTTTCTCTAAGGAAGATAAGTACTTTCCCTCCGTGCATATTTATCGCACGCATTGGAAGCTGAAGAAATCTTTATTAAGGACGAGTGCTGGTTTCTTCTGTAAACTAATGTTTATACCTGATCTACATCAATTATTTCGAGAGTCTTATGGACTTGATTTCCCGGACAAATTTAGCAAAATTTTATGAAAAAGTGCTTCTGCAATCTTTTTATGCTTGGTATATCAATCACCGTAGAATGGAGAGTATATTAATTTTGTCAAAACACTTGCAAAACTCACAAGGAAGCTCCAGCGATCCCACAAAGCATAGTGATCAATCAGCGAATTTTGAAAACTGTCCATCTGTCCCTCTGTATAAGGTCTGTAGTAAACGTTCTCTTGACCGCAAATAGAAAGCCATCGATTTTAAACTTCTTGAAGTATGATTGGTATTGAAAATGAGCTAAATCTATCGAAGGAAACGCCTACAGTTCCATATAAACTGAGAACACCTCCGCTGTTTGAAAAGAATAATAAATTGTTTTTTTGCTCGTTGCTCATAAACTACGGTAGATAAATCTATAAAAGCTTGAACTTATATTGTTATGGGTCTGCATAAGAATGAACAAACTTGATCGCCCTTGCCCGATATTATAGAGTATCAAATTTTTATATGCTTGCAATATCTTTATAAGGCACAGAACCGTGATTCCATAAAGTTTAGAAATTCTTGGCCTGGATCAAGGCATGTCCGTGTGTTCGTCTGCCAAACGTCTGTGTAGTATCCACGGTAGATATTCTTCCGTTCGCAAAAATGAATTTGAAAATCATTCAAACCGGCGACCTACTCCGCCTAAGCAACAAAAACTGTCAACAACTTTTTCTTCCGAGTTTTTTGCTTCTCACTCGTAAAGTACACCATATACACCATATACTACAAAAACACAAGTGTGCCCAGCCAGTATTATAGAGTTCTAGTTCTAGTGTAGAGTATTAGTTTTTTTCCTTCTTTTTCAGTCTTTTTTAGGTTAACGGTAAAAGTGTGAAAAATTTGGTCACGAGCGAATATAAATTTCTTACTTCTTAGTGTTGTAATGACAAATACTTAAGAAACTTTTCGCTTGCAATACACTGCGCTATAGCGATTTATACGTTGATGCTTGAATAAAACATAGCAACTTTTAAAAGCATTATTCTATTCCTTCGAATAAAATTTAAGGAACACATATTCCGCAGCTTTTTACGTTTACTTTTTTCCCGTTCTTTTACGCTGCAGGTTTGGAAATTTTAATTGAAATTTTCATTCATTTGGTTTAGTTTCTCTCAGTTTACTCTTTGTTTTTACCACGTAACCAAGCGTAGGTATGTTTTTCATTTGCTCACAACGTTTGCTAGACAATCAATTCGTGTTGATTGCTCTTTCTTTTTTTTTGCTTTCAAAGTCGTTACGTTAAGTTTATTGGTTTTGACACCTGTTGAATGAGTATCACACTTTTCCGCGTTGACGATACGTAAATGTTTGTTTTTCAAAATTTTCAAATCCTGGGCAATAGATTGCAAACTGACAGCAATCAATTTTTATTCGTAAATGTCTCCTTATTTGGTTTTCAACTCAATCCTCTACTTCCTCTCGTTTATTTGTGTTTCCCGCCTCAAAATGACTGCAAGCTAATTACTCTGTAGACGTCACATTACTATTTAAATAATTAAAAAAAGCAAAGTTAACAAGAATTTGTAAAAATCAAAATAAATTCTTCTTCTTCTTCTTTACCGCAAGTCGCACATACCCGTTCCCGTTATTAGTTTCAGTTTAAAAAATCTACAATTCGAAAACAAAGTTCCACTTACTAAGAAGATATGAAGAAAACATGAAGGTCATGCCGAATGCATTAAAATAATAGATGCATAGTAGAGGCTTTGTCAAAATTTGTATAAACGTTTGCCTGGCATGCATGAAAAATCTCTCTTAAAGAAATTGGAAATTAAATCAACCGAATTCTTTAAAATCATCAATGCTAAATGCTTGTGACGTAGCATATAACTTTTACAAAAGTAAAACGGATATTAAGTTTTATTAAAATAAATGCAAACTTTTGTCATAATTCTCAGCAATTGAACGGATATGAAGTACAAGAAATAATGCATTGATGATCACAGTCGGTTGACATAATCGACTTGTAATGATAATTGTAATTTTGCTATACTTTAATGAAGTGTTCTTTAGAAGGCACCTAAATAAAGGATAAAAATGGTATCCGTTCGATATGTTAATACTAGAATTATGGAAATCTGTCAACTCTACCGGAAAACACTGCCTATTTTCTTTGCATTTCTATGTGAAACTTTCGATTAAGGTATTTTCGAAAGCATGTGAACCAAATATTCGTTAGGATCACTTTCATGCTTAGTTGAATAAAGCATTTCAAGCGATTTGCTAACACAGTGGACAGTTGACGATAAAAACCACTGCAAGGTGCATTCGAATAAATGGGAAATAAATTGGTGACCAGTTGGTATACGAATTTTGTCGGTAATTGTGGACACGTTAATGGAATGTAGACACGATTGGAATCGTATTTGCGCAGAACGTGCTCGTCGGTCTTTCGAACAATTGGTTAGCTGTGCGTCAGAAATCTATGGTGAAAATTGAAAAAAATTTTGATTGTTTTTCGTGATGACTTTAGTTTCGTCTACATTGCAGGAGTGTTGTATGTAAACAGATCAGGCCTATTGTCTCGTGCTTCCAAACGAGCAAGGAATATGTTTGGGCGACATATCGCCCCTCGATATATATTTTTACGAGAGCGACTATGCACGAAAGTTGATGGATTTTCGTAGAAATAGATACACAATGCATTCAACAATGCAAAAATCAAAATAACAAAGAGGGCGGGTCCAAGAAAAAATTAGTAAACATTTGCTGCATTATATCATTAAAAGCCAATATATACCGTCTCATGCTGTATTTTTAAAATCAACAGATAAACATGCAATAGTCGAGCGACACCTACCTATTAGATACCCTACACACAATTTTGTGTAAATAATAATACACAAAAGATTACACACTATTTAAATTTTGAAATTTTATTTTACTTGTCATAGCTTCACAGGTTTTCACTTTCATGCAAGTCCGCTATACCTGGTGCGATCTAAAAGGTAGACATATGTGATTCAAATTCCTTACCGTTAACTCTTTGCTAAATGGCTACTTTGGATCAATTTTCATCATAATATATTAAAATTATGGAGTGAGGTGCAAAAAACAGAGAAGCGCTTGAAGACCTTATTAGACTTAGAATTTATTTCTTTAGGTTGAAAAATCAAAATAAAGAGAAATGAATTGATTTGAAATGAATTCAGGGAGAAAACGAATTAGTAGAAATTAATTGAATCGAATAAATATCGAAACTCATGTGCTTTGAATTGTTCCAATATATCAAAGATGATTGTCTTTTGTAATGGTTGTGCCCATAAATTACATTCTTACTCAAGAAAAGAAATGTCGACTCAAAGCTAATTTCACTCAACTAATTGTAAAGGTAACGGATAGTGATCGAATTAAGTCATATTTTGTAGTTAGAGCGGAGTACTTTAGCTGTCGCGAGTTTTCGTAATAACGCCTTACAACACTTTCAAGTCGGTGAATAAGCTCTGCAACGAAGTTTACTGCAATTTATTATCAAATCAAATCTCTCTTCTATCCATAATTAATTATTTAAAAAATTTTTAATTTATGTACATGCGACCTGCCTGCATATACACAGTCAAGCGGAAACCTATTGTTTACACTTAAACTTTGCAATTTTATTTCCAATTGATTTTTAGCATTTATAGTGTAAAGGCTAAATATGCACACGCCAGCATCATTTTGATATGTACTCGGCGAAACGCGAAATTTAATAATTGCGAAAATATTTTCTTAATTAAATTTGTTAATTAAATGCAATATTTTAATTTTGGCATTGTGTTTGTGTTCAAAAATATGTTATATTATTCTTGATGTCACGGCTGGAAGTTATGTCAATTTTATTATTTCGTTTGCCATTCTGACTTTGTCTGTCTGTCTCTCCGAATAGAATGCCCATTAAATTTTACCTATATATACATGTTGTGAAGATCAAAATCGGAAGTTGTTCTATCCTCGCACTTTGGGTTAAGGTGATATTAGCACGTATTAGTGTGTAGTTTTAAGAATAGCATAAGCACGTTTACTTACGATGACCAATTGATAGGTATGGTTGCCTCTCGGTCCAAACAGGCGCGATTTAGAACGTGGTGAAGGATAACGGACACGATTTACGAGTTTTAGCTTCCGCGAATGTTCCAGACAAGTAAAAAGAACAAGTGGTTGGTTGTGACTTTCCGATGTAGACATTTATTATATGGTCTTGTGCGGACTAGGGAAATTCCGTAAATTTGTAGGACATCCACACTAAAGGTAAAAATGTAGATCAGTCTATCAAAAAGAAAATCAAAGAAATGCCAATATTTAATCATTTGCTAGAGTGGATGGATATATCAAGAATACATAAGCCATTCGTATTCTTCTAAATGTTTTATTTCACCTCATTGTACAAAATGAGAAAGATTACAATGGCCAGAAATTGTCATGATAATGTAGGCGAACTTTTCATGGACCATTTACCAGTTTACTTTTTTTGAGGTTAAGTTGTGAAATTCGTTTTACCTTGGCGTCGGTTTTGCCAAAAATTCATTATTTAATTGTAGAATAATGTACAGTTTGTAAATATTTTATTATTAATGTTAAACGGAAGCGTTTTCACGCTTGCCTGGACTTGAATGCTTTGATTCAAGCTCAGCGCTCACTGGACACATTTCAGTTAAGCAACAACTAGAAGTCCTATATCCTATATCATCGAAATATTTTAAATTCCTGTAGAGGTTTTCCACCTTAGTTACTCGTTCGGAGATCAAAAAACAAAGGGAGTTTCCGCTCCAAAAAAAAAAGAAAAAATCAGAAGCCATCGTTTCGATATATCGATTTTTCTGTCCAATTGTCTTATTTGCCTTCAGTTTAGAAACACAAATTAAAGTTTTCTGTTCGAGGGAGTCAGAGCATGTAAAGCTTGGATTGAAAAAGTAAGGCGAGTTTTTAGTTTAATAAAATCAAGTTTCTTTATAACATTGATGCAAGCGTCTTTAACATTCTCTAAGCGAAATCAAATTTTTCCTCTCTCCATGTTGGAGCAAGTATAGAATAAAATTCTAGATCGCTGTAGTTGACATTATCATTTTATTCATATTATACCGAGAGGACACTTAAAAATTGAAGGAAGCAAACAAAACTAATCCGAAATGATCAAAGAACTGCATCGGAAACTCGTCATTTAAAAATGACATTGATTAAGTCTCGAATAAAATGTAGGATAAATAAAAAATACTCCCGAGTGAAACGTGCGATAAGCAACCTAAGCACAAAGCCTATGCATAACTGAAATTAACAGTGGTCATTAAAGACTCCCTAAAAAAAAGAAAATAGTTTTAAATCGAGCCAAAGCTATGCTCTTTGCATCTGTTAAAAGACTTTCTATGTAACATGAAAAGGATTCGTACGCATACAGTTGTAAGTAAGTGCCTTAAGATTCGTTTAAAGCCAGACGAATATATATATATATATATATAATATATATATATATAATATAATTTATATATAATATAATATAATATTTATTAATTAGTGCTTAGTTCGATAATTGCGTTCAAGGTGTCGCCATAACCATAATGATATGCTTAGTTTTTCTTACTCGTATGCGAGTTGCAAAGAATATCGAAAAACATTTTTCTCTCAGCTTTCTACTATTAATTAAAAGATTTTCCACATGAGCGTATATTTGCGTTCATTTAAACCTCTTTTTTTTTTTAAATGATGTCTGTCATGGTCTCATATACATTTCCATTTCATTATTATGCTATTTTTGTTTTTCGTTTTTTTTTTCTTTTTTTCTTATGTTATCAATAAGCTTAACAGTCCTTAAAGTAGTAGCGATTGAAGTCATTATCAGATAAATTGATTATTAATTAAAAATATGTTTCTTTGATTATATATTATTTTCAGTTAATTATTGAAATTAACAGTCATGTGGCTTTATTTCGCGATATGCTTATACTTGTTGGCCAACCAAGAGATTGTCCGGAGTTACGTGAGAAAATACGCAAATTGCGACGAACTTGCGTTGAAACCAGCAAACATATGGCACATTTAATAATGACACAACTGAAACGGTATGTCTGCCTTTTTATCCATTAAATTATATCGATTCCTGTAAGCATTTTATGTGAGAAACTTTACAACTGCGTGTGAAAGAAAAATTTTCAATTTTTACAGGTGAAGTAATTAAAAAAATTTCTCGTACTTCTCACCTGTAGTGTCATTGGCAGTTTTCACTGCGGGCAGCGATGATTCCTTTTAATGGTATGAACGCATTGCAAATAATTAAAATAATTATTAAGTTGCATTTATGCTTAATACTTTATTTGTCGAGAAAGTGTGAAAGGACGAGAGTATAATTGTTCAGAACAATTATTTAACAGAATCATCAAAAAGCAAAGCAAAGAATGTTATGCGCTTGTCTTAAGTCAACTCATCCGCATTCTAAGTAGATGAAGAATTTTTGAATGACAAGGAATTACGCTTTGTTGTAGTCGGTTTATGCAATAATCCGCTAATGAATAGCGAAGCATGAAGATGGTAGTTAATCTTGTTTGCAAAATCTCACAGAGGCATTTTTTATAGAGAAATTAGAAATAAATAATAATAAAAATAAAGCGGATTGCCGTTGGAAGCAATGTGCAGGACAATGGCAGGCAGAAAAGATTCATAAGATCTTCCGGTAGGGCACATAAACTGCTGGTATTAGAAAGAAGCGACCTACGTTTAGTCACCAGCTATTACGCGGGTCATATTTACCTCAGGTATTATCTGAAATCATGGATATCTTTGATATCGATTCATGCAGATCCTGCCAGGGGACGAGTGAAACGTGTCATCGCATTCTATGTGAATGTGAGGCCATCTGCAGAGTCAGACGCCAAGTGCTTGGCGAGCATTTTATAACGCCAGACAGGCTATGGTGCTCCAATTCAAAAAAGGCGGCGGGATTCATAAAATTAGAGGGGTAGAGACGTGGGCGTATACAATAGATCTTCTATATTGCGGTACTTCATGTCCACGAAATTAATAATAATACTAAGTTTTAGTATTAATTTTATATAAGTTTTGCTTTAAGTGCCAATTGAACTCGACTGTTATTTGTTTAGTTGAGTTTCAGGTATAAGTAGAATTAAAATAAATGAATAACATAACTAAATAAATAAAGTAATTCAGTCGTTCATAGAGTGGCCCTGACTAGTTTTTCGTTCTATCGCATTCCACGCTTCTTTTTTCTTTTGTTCTCACGTATTTTATTACGTTTTCCAACTATACGTAAACGTTGCTCAATAACAAATGTACTACACGACTTGAGAATATCTTCCTATTATGCCCTGCTTGCAAAGAATTAATTAATTTTCCTATCGAAGATGGAAACCGGCCTCGTATCCTATATGCATGTTCTCCTTGTAATATAAACGATATGAATAAGCATAAGCACCTGCATAAGCTCTCCGCATAAGCTTATTTGATAGCTTGGGTATATGAATTGATCGCATATCCCGCATATTTAAATGTAGTATTTAGTGTTACCCGTATCTTTAAATATTTCAGCTTTTAATAATAAGCCATTTGCTTAAAAAGTTTATGCATTAGTTTTTATATAAAAATCTTTTAAGCGCTCTTTGAAAATTATCTTCTCACTCTTTCATATTTCCCTTTAAATGGAAACAATAAAAGAAAGACGTTATGTAATGCATTGAAGAGTTCGATGGCGTTTTACTTACTTCACGTATCATGGGCAAATTTTTTTATCCAGGCATTGAGTTAGGATGAAGTTGCATGGCTTCCCTGAATTGTACCTTACAGTAATGCCATTAGAAACTTAATAAAATTTAACGAAGATTGCCTTAACCTCGATTTGTCGTTGAAGACGTTGTTCAACCTTTCGGTATAGCCCAAAGCTGGGGACTAACCACGTAGCGCAAGGTTAACCTTCGCTTCTATGTTCTCTTGTTAGCTGAAAACAACAGCGAAAGCTAATATTTTTTCACGTGATTACCTCCGAAAAATTTTACGACTCAAATAAGCCTTTAATATGCATTCCGCTTTAAAAATATGAACTCATTTGCTTAGTCCAAAACAGGTTTTGAATCAATATACTATTGTTGCTAGGTTTGTATAAAATTCCCTTCAGGAATTCACATATATAGCGACGTGAGTAAATGAAAATATGTGACTCGCAGTACAATTCCCACACATTAATCATAAATCAAAAGGATAGATGATGCAATAGATATAATAATTAACGAGGAAAACAACAAACAAAAGAAGAAAAAAAGAGTTAAGAATCATTGAGGTGAAGTGAGTGAAATTGATGTGAGTCTTGTATGTTTCCCACTTCAATGATCATAAAACTGAACTACAGTTCAGTTATGTCGATTTCCGATCTTAATCCGCGATAATCGGCCGCGTAATATACAATTGCGTTAGGCCTACAGGCGAACGAACGGCAAGATATGACAAAGTCGATTCGGAAACTGTCAAGCAGTCATCCAGCATCGTTGGTATTACAACAGGAGGTGCTTTGTTTGTATCGAATTTTCACAGATAAAGATAAGGTCATAACCAAAGTGTCTAGTCTTGATTTGACCCTACACGTAGGCATGCTTTACAACTTTATTATATATTGTAGTAGCATTTTTACATATTTACTGTAGCTACAGATTATAAGTAGGAATTGAAAAGACAAGGGATGGGAACATGACATTCGAAGTATGTCAGCTGACATCAGTTAAGCGAATGGCAAAGGCAATCCTATTCGAACCGAATTAGAAGACACTTTCTCTTTCCTCAGGATCGAATCGCCGACTAGGTAGTCCATCACCGATAGCAGAAAAATCTGTTATTATTCGCTTGGATTACATGCTATTGGTGCCGTATTAGGAATATTATTATAGAAAATCATTAATTTGCGTCCTATGACCACCGATGATAGATCGTGTAAGTTAAGTGCATTAGGTGTTTTTATGGTCTTCTCTAATACCATTAAGCCAATTAATAAAAGACTACTTAATGATTACCTTAAGAGAAAGCAGGATTCTTTAGTAAACGGGGAAAAAAAAGTTTGGAACTAAAGGACGCCTGGAACAGTCGTTGACTCATACTCTGGCACCAGGATCTTATAAATTTTCCAAAACGGAAAATTTTAAACTTCACATGATATATTTTCATTGAACTCTGCCTAGAAAGTCAAACTTTCACATTTCTTAATTGTCACTGATAATTACCTCTGACCGCTAAAGGGTTTGACAAATAAAACGCGCTACGAAAATAAATACACTGAGAACAATTTTACAGATTTAACGAAATGTTATCCATGCCTTTATCATTAATATTTGAAGCGTGCTGTAAATGTGTAGTAAATTGTTTTGCTCTACTGTGCGATAATAAAACTCATTTTCTTATGAATGAAAGCAGCGCAGCATTGTACTCATTCCGCGTCAAAGCGAGCTTTAATTAATGTAAGCAACTGATACGAATTTGTTAGTACCTGCGACGAGGTAAGGAAATGTTATGTCAAATAGAGGTTAGGTATGCAATTTGTATTTACCGATTGAAAACTTTCCATTGAGACATCAAAAAATTTATAAGCCATCAATCTGGCTGGCCTCTGTGCTCTGGCCATGGTAAATAGTAACATGCGTTCGTAATATATGCTGCCGTTGTACCAAGGATGCTCGGCTAACGCATCACTCATATCCAGGCTCTACATGCAAATGAAA